CTCCAGTTTTTTCATTAATAAATTTTTCTTTAGCAAAAATCTCAGATTAGTAAAAAGTTTGCCTCAAAATTATAAGAAGTGTTTATCTGGATTATCTGCCTGATGGAGGTGGACTGATTGATCAAAAATATCGATAAGATCAATACTAAGTTGGTATTGATCAGTATCGGATCGATACTTTAATTTTGGGTTCCCTCTTGAAATTGTTTTTTATATATTAGTGTCTCACATGTACCTCAAAAAAGATTTTCTTCACTAATTTGTTTTTCTATTGTTTGTTCATCATCTCAGTATATTTAAAAGTATTTTATCGACATGAAGATGTCTACAAAACATTTGTTACAATTTTGTCCAAATTCTGTCCTACATTTTAACAAACCAATTCAAAAGAGAAAAGCAGAAGTTTAATAATGTATCAAACCTAAATCCTGAAAAGCATTTATCGGTGATGGTGCCCCTTTACTTGATTATTTACTTGATTTTGGTTTGTAAACTATGCAGAGTCACACATCTCTACTGCCTGAATCAGATGGGCAAAATGTTGAATTTTGATGGTGCTTTACGTCATGACTCCATGGTTGTTCTACCCAATAAGGAAAAATAAAGCCTGTTTTGTTACCATAAATATGATAATTGCCACATAAGGAAAGAAAATGACTTACGATTTGTTGTTGATGACCATGTTCAGGGTGTCTCTGAGGCTCTCAGTTGTCATAAAGTTAAATTTAACACTAACTGCAGCTCCTTTGGCCTCCATGTGCACCATGTTCTCTGGCTGGTCAGCAAACATGGGGATTCCCACCATGGGAACGCCGTGGTAGATGGCCTCATAGATCCCGTTTGTCCCTCCGTGAGTTATGAAAACTTTGGTTTTAGGATGACCTGAAAACAACGTTATCAAACATTCATTATTAATTATCTTGAAAACTGTTCTGTAGCAAATCAAACAAAAACTAAGTTAGGGTTGTATAAAACAGATTTTTATAAATAACAGAGTAACTACACATGTTTGCATTTTTTCTGATGTACTTCTGTTCATCAAAATAATGAATATTCCATAATTCATAATCGTATGGAAAAATGTTTTCAGTTGGACCATTTGGAAATTAATCAAGTTAGCAGCATCACAACTGGACTTCCAGTGTAGTTTGTCTCATTTATTTTTATTTAAGCATAAATTATTCCACAGTGTTATGGATGCTATTATTTACCCACCCAGCAGGTCGTTCTGTGGGATCCAGTCATATAATCTGGTGTTGGAACCCAGAGTCTCGGGTTTCTGGCCACTGTATCGCCACAGGACCTAAAAATGGTCAAAACAGATTTTTTGTAGTGGGCTGTGCAACGGCTACAGGAAAAGATTTTTTAAACTGTATCACAAATTTTGGTCAGAATTGCAAAGTATTTCTTTAAAGGTGATTTTTATCTCTATTTTAATTTTTGCAGGTTTCGTTTCCTGTCTTTGAGTACAAAAGACATTGTTCTCAGAATAAATGATCTCTGGCCGGGTCAACATGGTAGCTGCCTTCTCCCCTCTGTGATTCACTATGTACTGGCTACACATTGCTCTGCAGCCTATGTGCCACTTGCTGCTGACCCAGACTTCCCTTCCCTGACTTTTGATGCCAGCAACACAACAAATCTCGATGTCTGGGATAACCTACATCAGAGCTTTTAGAAGTGGGACATGCCAGAGGCATGTCTCTTCAGAGCTCTGGTGCCCCCCCGCCCCCATTGAAGAGCTCTGGGGGGCGCCAGAGCTCTTCAGCCAGAGCCATTTGAGGGGAAATAATAAACCAGAACAAGTAACGGCAATCATTTAGCCAACTTCACCAAGCCTATGATTTGAAGAGACAAAATGTATAGATTTTTAGGACCTAAAGCTACAGTCAGTGAGGAGAAAGAGTCTGAGCTAAGCAAAAATAAAAGGAAGTATTAATTTGATTGTTTAGGTTTGGGATGGATCTGAAGATGCTCCACTGACAGTGTGGTCTGCCAAATGCTGGGAACCTTTTGACAGGACGCCAAATGAACTGCAGTCACAGCAGAAAGCAGGTCATACTTTTAACACTGTAAATTACAAGGCAGCTGAAGCATCATGAGATGCTACGCACAGCTAAAGTAGGTAAACCCCATGACATCAGTGAAAAAGTTTGAATGTAACGTCAACTCTCCATCACTTTGAAAACTCCTGACTTGCATAGTTCAGAGTTGGCTAAATAAACTCTACAAGTCTTCAACACATGATCATTTATCTGGATTTTCTTGACCTTTTGTGGAAGTTGAGCGAGCGCTGAGGCGATCATGTTCGCTTTCGTTGTGGTCAGGTTCTTGACAATTGATCCTAAAGAGAAGACAACGATACCAGCGTCTCCAGAGCTCTGGACAAACTTTTCCATTTCCTGCAAAATAGTAATATTTTCCGACATTGAGCCAGTTAGTTGGTTTTAAATTTGGAATGTTGTTGGCTGATTATTTGAATTGGTGGATTATAACCCCACCTTTGGCAAAGGTTTAGCTGGTTTGCAGTGGATCCCTCCAACAAATTTAAAGTTGGGGAGGAGTGGACGAGGAAAATCAAAATCCCAGAAGGTTCTCATCAACCAGATGTCCACGTTACGCAGCATCTTACAGTTGGTAACGGGTGTTCCTATTATAGTGGACACATAACAATAAGCAAAAGATTTTAAAGCTTTCATGATAATTTTTGAAAAATTTTAATACTCAAAACTACTAATGGGACCCTTACTTTTGACTTCAGAGTAATATTTGTCGATATCTTTCAACATGAACTGGGTTATTACGACGTCCTGCAGAGCGTAGAAGAGGACGTTGTACAGTCTCTCTGAGAAGTTCATCTTGTCTGTGAGTTTGCTCATAGCAGCGGGGACGAAGGACGGTGGAGCAGGAAGTTGACCACACATCCTCTCCCAGTGATGAGCCAAGGAAAACCGCAAAGAAAGAACAAGAGGAATTCCCAGAATGTCTGCCGTCAGGTCGTAGCCAGGGTAGATCGGATCTGCAAATAACACATCGTAGTTTCCCTCCTTCAGCTTCTTCATCATGGCTTCTGATTTCACCACGCCATCCAAAAACTTTAAAGACATGTTCATGTTGTTCTTTGTTAAATCTATAGCTTTCATGTAAATCTGAAAGGGGTTCATAAAATCCATCTCATACATGGAGAAGTGCAGAAGATCATCAAGAATCTTTTGTATATCTTTTACTGAGACGTCGACGTCAAAAGGTTCGTACCGGAAGCGAGACGGTTCGCTGCTGTTCATGAACATTGACGCACTCGGGACCAGGACAGACACCTGATGTCCTCTGTCCACCAGTGTCTCCAGTACCGGCTTCATGTTGATCCAGTGGCTGGCCTCAGTGTACCACACCAAAATCTTCCCTCCGTTTGAGCTTCTGGTTGCACAAAGCAGCAGCAGGACGCAGACAGAGAGACGCAGCTCCATGGTGGCTGTGTGTCTGTAGATAGACCAGCTGCAGTCGTTTTATGAGCTGTACCTTAAAGATACTGATTAACTAAATGAACTTTGAGTTTCTGCTCTTTATACAGAATAATGCATGATAACAGTTTACCCCTGGAAAGCTCTTAGTAAGGCAAAAGGTAACAACCGCAAAGATAACTTCATGTCTTAATGTAGATGCACCCAGTGCCTTTGCTAACCTTTTGGCTGCCCCAAGCACAAATGCTTTGCAGTGGACCTTCACCCAAAAACGTATGCATTATATTACAAACTTATTTTGTGGTCTAATGTTTAACGACTCACTTAACTGTAAAAGGATTGTGCTAGGCAAATTTTACTCTTCAATATTTGAGAATCGAGGTAAACAGTTTTAACTGCTGATAAAAGTGACAGAACAGATATG